TCTGCTGGGTGCAGGATTGTTTTCTTTCAGCCTTGGCTGGCAATTGTTTTCTTGCAGTCTTCTGTATATGCCATCCCATTATCTTCTTGTTCACATGGTTTCTGCTGAGAAATCAGAGCTTAGTCTAATTGGTTCCACTTTGTGGGTGATACTTCATTTTTCTTACTCTACTTTTAGTATTCTGTCCTCACCAACAGTCAGAAAATCAAAAGACAAATTGCATTGGGAAAATCTCCTGTCAGGGACCTCTCCAGAGTACTGAAAAGCACTGACAATACTATCAGTCTAGAGACTAAGGTGTGCCTAATCCAGGCCATGGTCTTTGCAATTACTTGCTATGCATCAGAAAACTCAATAGTGATTAAGGATGATAAAAGAAGAATTGATGCCTTTTAGTTGTGATGCTGACGAAGCATCTTGAACATACCATGGGCCACCAAGAAAACAAATAGGTCTGTCTTGGAGAGGGTGAAACCATGTTTCTCCTTGGAGGCTAGGATTTTTAAGTTCCCATCTCACATGCTTTGGGCACATAGCCACATAGTCCTTGGAGAAGAACATCATGCTTGGAAGGGTAAAAGGATGGTATAGGAGAGGAAGACCCTGGATGAGATGGATTGATACAGTGACTGGGCCAATGGGAGTTGATGTGTTGGAATTAGTGAGACTCATTCAGAACCAGGACAGGGCAGGGTTCAGATTTGCTGTACATAAAGTTGCTATGGGTTGCAGGCTATTCAATGGCACATAACAAAAAAAAAATCTTTGATTTTGGAGGATTTGATCATTTATCTTAGTTAATGTTTTTCTTTTGAGGTTTGGTCTGTTGGAAGTTCTCTGAGCTTCCTTTAAGTGGAATCCTTTGTTTTTCATGATACCTGAGATGTTTTCTTCTAGTTCCTCTTTTACTATTTTCTCAGTGGTTTCCCTCCCTTTCTTCTGTTCAGAAATTCCAATCACATGCACGTTGTTCCATTTGATGTTGTTTTGCATAATTATAATGTTTTCTTCATTTTCCTTCTGTCTTGTTTCCCCCCCTCTTATTAGTTTCCATTGAGATTCCTGCATTTTAGTTCACTGACTCTCTGTTCTATCTCTCCTGTTCTGCTTTTTTGTCCTTCTAACATATTGGAAAATCTGCCATTTTGTTCTTGATATTCTGGATTGCCTTTTCATGCATTTCTGTTATTTCCAGGACTGTGCTCTTTGTACCCTTTCTGTCTTACAATGATTTTTAAAATTTTTGTATCTCTATTTTTTGTTTCTTTTCTTCCTAAGTTTATAAGTTCTTTAATAGTGATTCATGCAATTCCACAACAGTATCTTTCTTCTTCCTCTTCTGGAGTATTCATTACATCTGCAATCTTTTTTATTTTTTAAAAATAAAATTTTTATTTTAGCTCTCTCAATTTTAATATCATCTTGTTTGAGACCTCAAAACCATGTGGGTCAAGTGGAGGAAAAAGTGAATGTGCAGGCTGAAGCATAAAAGAGGGTGAGGCAGAGGTCCAAGTAAACGTGAGTGTGTGCACCCACAAACACCACAGTGGCAGGAGTAGAGAATGCCACAGGCTGGGGATACTGCTACACATTGGACTGAATGCTCCTGTCTAGAGCTTCTTATTCAAGGGATCTAGAACATCCATTACCAGTCAATCACCATGAACACTTCTGAGAGGTCCACCTTCCTCCTTCAAAACCAGGCTCTTTTTCACCTATTGCCCTGGACCTATAATATTCTGGACTAATTCTGCTTAGTTGTGGTTGGATGTAATGTGCACAATAAATTATCTCTTCTGTCTTAGCCAAAGAATCAAATAAAATTTTTAAAAATTTTTATTTTATACTGGTTTACATACAAAGCTCTTATACATAGTTTTCCACACTAGATCTTTTCCATTTTTTTTACCCACCCCTCCCTTCACCCACCAAATTGTGTGACCTTATGATTAACTACCCCTCCTCACCCATCCTCACCCCTCTGCTCCCCTCTCCCCTCCTTGGATCCTCATATACGTTCTGCAATAATGGTTTGCATCAGCAACCTTATCAGCTTTTTAAAGGAAAAGACTTATTTTGTTTTTTCCAATAATATTTTAAGCTGCCTGCTACTTTCTTGACATTATGCGAAGTCCTTCTTGGTATGTATGAGCCAACTTCTATTGTTTCTACATTGGTTGTTGACAGTTCCTTATCTTATGATGCTATTGATAAGTTAGTCTTCCTGGTTATCATCTATGGACAGATCTATTCCCCATTTCTTGGGGCAAGCTTCTCATCCAGTTTTCCTTTGATGAGACAGGAGCTGGAGTGTTTCCCTATGTCTAGCTGGGGCAGGCCTGCTTCTCTATTTTATTGGAGTGAAAGGTGGTTTCTTGCAGGGGTACACAAAGTCCCAAGAGTGTTGCCTGGGATATTTTGCTCAGGGAAAAAGGCCCTGGAAAGTGTCAAAGTCCCAACAGTGCAGCTTTCAAGTCTCAGCAGTTGCTAATGGCCATGTACCTGTCCCTTCTCTCATGGCTAGTTTGGAGGGGAGCTATTCCCACTTGAGCAGAAAAAGGCACAGGGAAGTTCCATCTTCTCATTGATGCCACTCCCAGTTATTGCTACTTGATAATGTCCAAGAGTACCTTCATGTCCTCTCCAGAAGCAGCTCATTGTTAGGGTAATTATTCCCACCTGTGCAAATAAAGGCTCAAGGAAGAACCAATTTATTTTTTTCCCCCAATTCGACACATTTTCCCCCCATCCATTCAATGTTGCACTTTACTCCCTTCCCAACCCTCTCTTCCAGAACACTACCCTCTTGGAAAAGTAAAAGAAAAATTTTTTCATTGTTTTACAATCCCTCCTCCCAGGTCCACTCCTCTATACAGCCTTCATTCTGGACTCCTGTCATGACAAAAATCCCTAGTAATTTTCCTTCTTAAACAGTTTTCTCCCGCATATGTTTCAATGCAGTATACATTATTGAACTCATCCTTCTCAGTCTCTTCCCAAGCCCGAGGTCAGTCCTGCTTTACAACAGTGGCACCACGCAGTATTTGTCTTTTTGTGACTGAGATACTTCACTCAGCATAATGTCCTCCAGGGTCATCCATATTAAATAATATTGCTTGAGTTCCTTGTTTTTCAATGCAGCCTAGTATTCCATTGTGTGAATATACCACAGCTTCTCTATCCATTCATTTGTTTATTGGGAAAGCACCAATTTCTTAATACAGCTCCCAATTCCAGCTACCTGCTCATGTCTAGAGCCACACATCTCCTGGGCTTATTGGGAGAACAGCTATTTCCATCTAACGAGACAAAAGCCTGAGGCTGTAATCTATGGAAAACTTGTGGGATTGAATGTAAGACCTTTTTGTTGGCAACTTAATGTTTTAATTGCTATGCTGCCAGGGTTCCTATCAGCATTCCAGTTTTGCTCAGTTCCTCCTAAATCTTGAGGTAAATAAGAAATGCTCACCAGAAAGTTCTTGACTTGGGCATAAGCAATTATTCTTTTTTATTTAATTCATTTTTGTTACTCCCCCAAAGAAAATACTCTTATTTCCAGATTATTTTTATTCTCAACTCTGGTAGTTTAGGGTGTTTTAGGTTTACCCCAGTTTACCACTGAAAAGAAGGGAATGGGAAGCTGCTTGGGTTTTGCATTATAAGTCAAACTTCATGTAAGCACAGATTCTGGTTGTTCCAGTCATTTCTAAATAGAAAAAGTACAAATAGTGTGGTTAAATTTATGGTAACCATACATCTCATTTCTCAAACTAGGACATATTTCGGAGTGGAGGAGGGGGCATAATTCCAGATAGATCAAAAAGGAGATGGAGTGGATATTTGACTCTGAATAGAATCTTGTTATAAACAAAGGTAACTTAATTAAGCTTCTTGGTGTCAGGAATTAAGCAATCTTTTCTAGAATGTGTAGTTCTTAGAATAACTGTATATCCTTAACAAAAACAAAATAAAACAAAACAAACAAAAAAACAACACCAGACTCTCAGCTGGTAAGGATAGAAGCAGACAGAGTTATTGCCATTGAGTTGGAACCAGCTGATAGCTGACCCTCCAATGAGTTTTCTGAAACTATGAATCACATGAAAGGATATTACTAGTATTTCTCCTGATGGACCACTGGTGGATTGAACTGCTAGAGAAGTGCTGTTTAGACATAGAAGTGACAATAAAAGTTTTATTTCTCTAGTGGAGTCAACAGGATCTAGTTTAACAGATCTGGATTTATTCCAGAAGTGTTTCTGGAATTTATTAGTGGGTATAGAGTTGCATTTCCAACGCAAAGGCACAGAGTTAATATCCACCAACTAGCTTCTCTATGGGAGAAAGATGGGAAATCTCCTCCCACTCAATTTACAGCCTCTTAAAACCTGAGGGGTGGCTAGGAGTTGGCTCTGACTGGACACAGTGAATTTGATTTGGGATTTTTTTTTTCTTACTTGACACATTAAGAACGTAAATCAACATTTTGCTCTTCTGTAGCCTCTACTTTTCCTTCGGTATCTGTTGTCCTAGTCCCTGGCTAAGACACAGGGCTGAGATTTATTGGAAGGCCTTGAGAAGAAAGCACTGATGAAGAATTTGCAGACTGTCATCTGGAAGGAAGGCAATGGCTCCAGGCATATGTGGGGTACCGGATAGAGAAGCTGTGGGATCTGCACCCCAGAATCCCTGGGTTGTGGTATCTAGCTCAGCTCTCAAAGATGCCATTTAATTTTTTAGAATCTTCTGAGAAGTCAGAGGGCTTTGATAGATCTATTCTTCTTTTGTGACTACCCTTCTATTGACTCAGTCCACCCATTTCATAGTTGTAGTAGTTGTAGTATTCCTTCTAATCAAAGTTCATAATAGATCTGAGTTAAAAGAATCTTTATTTTTTAGATACTGTTTGAGAAGTACATTAAAAAAACCAAAATGGGAAAGCATCTGGTGATATTAAACTTTACTAGTGAAGTTATTATTTCTCATTAATTTTCTTTTAGGAAACCACAGCTGTAGCTGAAAGCCAAGATGAAGACCTACTAGAAGGTAACATAAAGCATGGGCTTGCAAGCAGAACCTAACCCAATTTCCAAACTGCTCTTTCACTTAACTTGCTAGAAACAAAGATCCAACTGGAAAATTCCACTGTAGATTGCCTAAGCCAGTCTCTTCAGTGATGTGTCATATTTTGGGATTCTAGAGGGGAAAAAAATGAAAAAGATCCAGTATGGGAACAATTTCAGCTCAACTGCTGCTCCGGGTCTTCCTGGGGGCCTGGGAAATGGGGACATCCCCCCAGATAAGAGGACAGTAAGTTGTTTTCAAGGTCCATTTCCTCTGTAACTTTAAACTGTGTCCCTCGTGGTGCTTTGATTTTGTTTTTTAAGGCATAAAGGATGATTGAAGGCAGTGGCTTTGACATCTTATTTCCCATGGGTTGTTGGTTCCTGGGGGACTTGATAGGTCTGCTCAGACCATCAGGCTCCACCCAGGTTCTTGATCTATTTTGAAAGAACAAAGTATATTCTGTCTCTTTTGGAATGTGCTTTATTTAGGGAAGAGAAGGAAAAAACTTTGCTTCCTTTATTTATTTGTTTAAGTTATAAGAAAGTAAAATAGAGCAGGAACATGGCAAACACTATGCTTGTTTCTTAATCACACTATGTCTCTTTCTTATACCTCTACCCTGTCCCAGACAAATCCATCTATTGTCTTTGTAATTTTTGTCAAAGAGTGCAGCATTAGTGCCCAAAGCCACAGTGACTAATACAGAGTTTGAAATATTCATACTTAAGTAAAATGAAATTTCTATTTAAAAACATCTTCAAATATTATCAGAGAGATCTGATTTGTAGGTCTTTGACATAAATATGATTAAAGGTGGCTTGTGCTAGCTTTTGAAGTACCTAGATAATCAGGTCAGCATGCTTTTCTATCTTGAAAATGTTAGAGGACTGCATTCACCCAGAAAACCCTGGCAGAAACACCTGGTGATTACTTCTGAACAATTAACTATTGAAAATCCCATGGAGTGCAGTTCTAGTCTGACACATATGGGGTCACCATGGATGGATTCTGACTCAATGATAAGTGTATTCTAGCTCTCAGGGATGCATTCTGGTTAAAATCCCAGTGTAATTTTCCTCTAATTATGCAGACAGTCTATAAAAATGATGGAGGAAAACTAACAATAAGAATGTTCTGGTGAATATAGATGACCAGGGTTTAAATCCTACTTGAAAAACTCTGTGTTTCCAAATTGCTTAATCTCTCCCTCAGTGGGTTGATTTTTCTCATTGATAAAACGAGCATGATTTCCCATTTCCTTTAGAGGAAGTGTGAAGATGGTATCTCTAAAGTGCTCTTAAGTGTTTTAAAATAGCCTGACATAATAACAACCTCTGTAATAATCATAGTCATAGCAGCAGCTCTCAATAGAGAGATGATGTGAACTTCAAATCTGCCCACATAAGTCATCTGAAAATTTTTCATAGCCAAATTATAAAGAGGAAAGAATCATGTGAAATGAATTTTAATGTATTTCATTTAACTTAATAAATAAAAAATATTTTCAACATGTAACAAGAATTTTAAAATTATCAATGAGATTTTTCATTCTTTTACACACAAAATCTTTGAAACCCAGTGTGTTTATTTTCCACTTGCACTCCATCTCAACTTGGACTAGTCACAACTCAAGGGTTCAATTTCATCTATGACTATTGGCTACTGCACTTGACAGCATAGGTCTACAGGACTAGCCCTAAACCACAGTTTAGGGAACATGCTGTTAGTTTGTGTTTTATAGTCATCTGTTACAGTTGATAGTCAATATTACTGCAACAGTCTCTGTGGTGCAGTTAGAGCTACATTGCTGACTAAGATGTAGCTGATTTCCATGTTACAGGCTAGAGAAGAGGGGGTGTCTGTTAGCAGTGGTCCTGATGCTGCTCCTGAGAAGTGGTCAGCATCAATGACTCTGACAATTGCCCCTAGCAGTGAAGGATACTGGAGTGTAACATTGGGAAGGAAGACTTGGGAAAAGTCAGGAAAAATGTTAGCAGCATCCAATTTTGAGATCAGAAGCATTGAAGGGAAATGTTCTCAAGAGCAGTGAGATGTTTTATAGCACAGGAACAAGACAACACAGTCACAATGAATAAATATGTGAAGTGGTTTGGGACACTTAAATGGTGTCCAGGGACTTTTTAATGGCTTCAAAATAATAAGTACAAATGGGCATACAGATCCAGATTAAAAACATGGACCTGGGTGGTTCAAATGATTCATGTGTTTGGCTGCTGATCAGAAAGCTGGATGTTCAAATCCATCCACAGTTGCCTCAGAAGAAATGCTTATTGAAGGGAGCTCTGATGGCCTAGTGGCAAGAAGCTGCACTGCTATTCCACAGGCACATGGTTCAAATCCACCAGATGCTCTGCTGGAGAAGGAGGGTCAATCTCCTCCTTTACCAGTCAGATCTGCTCTGGCAGTACACATACAAGAATAATAATAAAATAAAAATTAAAAAAGAAATGCTTATTTATCTATTTTTTTTTTAAAGTCACACCAAAAAACACCAGCCACTGAAAACCTGGTAGAGCACAGTTCTACACTGGTTCAGATGGGATTGCTGTGAGTCCTGATTGGCTTACTAGCAACTGGCTTATATGGGTGTTAAGGAGGTAAATGATGGTTCAAAGTGGCTAAGGCTTGCAAAAAACTTACAAAGGCAACAGGAAGGGCTTTCCCCTTCACTTTTGCATAAAGAAATGAAGAAATTACATTTAAAAAGTCAGTGACCTTGGCAAACTTGTAAACCACTGGGAACAGACAACTGTGGAATGAAAAATCTTAGTCTAATGCCTTCATGTTAGCAAAAGGCTACCTCCACATGATGGGTGCCAGGTTTCAGAAAAGAAGCTTCGGTCTTCTGTTCCTGAATTGCTTGCTATGTGTTCTCCTGTATCAGTTTTTTAACTAAGCAGATAAGGCAACGTGTTTGCTTTTTTAAAAACATTTTTTTAAATGTAATTTTAATGAAAGTTTGCAGACAAATTAGATTTTTATTTATTCATTGTTGCACATTTTCCTCCCTCTCCCTCCATTTCCCCTCCCCCAACTCACTTTCTCTTTGTTTTAAATATTCATTCATTGTTGTGCAATTTCTTCCCTTCCTCTCCCTTCCTCTTCCCCCAGTCCACTTTGCAATGCACCTCTTATTTTGGACCTCTTATTCTGAATCTGTTCAGATGCAGGGTTTCTAACTACTCTTTTCATTCTTTCTTTGCACCCTCATTCCCCATGCCAGCCCTGCCTTGTAACACTGGTGCTATGCAGTATTTGTCCTTTTGTGACTGACATGATGCTGAGTGAAATATCTCAAACACAAAACAACAAATGTTTGTTTTTTTAAAGCCTTGTCCTAAGGCCTGGTCCTGGCTCACCGAGTGTGCCACCGTATCTAAATGTTTCTGCCAGGAACTCATCTTTGACTTTCCCTTGACCTCCTCCATCATCTGTTGTTGTTATTTTGTGCCATTGAGTCTACTTCAATTCATGGAGATCCTATGTACAATAACTCTGAATCCGGCTCCTTCCTGAGCCAGTCAAACTGTCTCTGACACATTTACCCTCATTATCTGATACTAAATCAATCCATCTTATCCTGGGTCTTCCTCTCTTGCACTGTCACTCTTCCAACCATGATGTCCTTCTCCAAGGACTAGTTCCTCCTAGCAACATGCCCAAAGTATGAGACAGAACCTCAAAATCCTTGCCTCCAAGGAGCAACTTGGCTTCACTCTCTCCAGGACAGACCTGTTTGTTCTTTTGACAGTCCATGATATGTTCGATTCTCTTCTCCAGCATCATATCTCAAATGTGTCAATTCTTCTGTCATCCTTATTTATTGTCCAGTTTCTGATGCATAGCAAGTAATTGCAAAGACAATGGCCTGGATCAGGTGCACCTTTATCTCTAGATCGACATCACTGCTCATTAGCACTCTGGAGAAGTCCCTGACAGCAGATTTTCCTAATGCAATTCATCTTTTAGTTTCATGACTTCTGATGCCAAGGGTACTGACAGAATTTGTTAATAATCTCAATCTCTTCTCCATCTGTCATGGTGCAGCCAATTGGCACAGTGGTGAGAACCTTGGATCTAGTGGTACTACTAGTTTTTAAGCTTAAATTTAAAATTTCCAGGGGAACCTACACTTCTTAAAAGTTAACATTTAGTGTCTTCAATACTTCTTGCTAACATTAGAAAATTAAGCACATTTTACTTTTAAGCAATTTCCAGTATGTGTCTTGTGAAACTCTATTTTTAAATATGCATTGTTGGTTTCTGTAGATCCAAATGTGCACTTCAATACTGAGACGTTAAACAAGGAATTTATGGTGAAAAGTGAAGAGCTCTATGACTCCCTCATGAATTGCCACTGGCAACCTCTGGATACAGTTCACTGTAAAATCCCAGAGAAGACCCAGGAGTGAAGCACAGTGTTCATTCAGCTACCTGATATTCTATTAATTTTATATTTTTGTTTTCTGTTTTGGAGTGGGGAGAATATTCTCCTAGAAATGTGCTGCATTCTGTTTTAAAGACAAATGCCCAGGGATTTAAGTATGATTGATGTGATTGAATATAAGGTAAATAAACTCGACCACGGTAATGTAAATAAGCAACCATACCTGAAAGTGTTGTGTGTTAACAAAGTGGCAGAGAGCTCATGTTAATGATCATGGTAGAACAAGCGTCACCATCGCTTGTGCAGGACATGCAGATCAGAATAGAAGGATCTTACTGCTCTAGGTCCTGACGTTCACTCAGGCTTCTAGCAGAGAGCTAGAGGGAGCAGTGGAGGAGAGTGGAGACTCACGTGTGTCTCTTAAATAGAAGGATCTCTAAGTATAGAAAAGGTTTGCAAGAACAAAACAGCCTATTGACCTTCTAAAAAAGAGGAATTGGTCCCCCATAGTAGCTAGTTGTAAACCAGCAGCATATATATTGACTATTCCTCTTAGAAAATGTCAGTCCTGAAGATAATAGGCCATGTTGTATTGGTCTGCCATGTTGAAGAGCAAGTATGTCAGTTTGAAACTAAGGTGGACCTGGTTCAGGCCATGGTCTTTTCAATCACCTGCTAACCGGGCTGCTCCTAGGAGGCAAGGATTCCGAAGCTTCATCATGTTGCAAAGGAGGAACTGGTCCTTGGAGAGAGACATCATATTTGGGAAAATGGAGAGACAGCACAAGAGAGGAAAACCCTCAATGAGATGGATTGACTCAGTGACTGGGGTAATGGGAGTAGGTGTGTCAGAGACTATAAGGTTGGCACAGGATAGAGCAGGGTTTAGGGCTATTGTCCATAGGGTTGCTATGAGTCGCAAGCAACTCGATGGCACATAATGAAAGCTATACATTAGAGAGCTGGAAAATAAAAAAGGATGACAGATTTGAGTTGTGTTGGAGAAGAGTACTGAATATTCCATGGATTGCCAAAAGAACAAGTAGATTTGTCTTAGAAAAAATGAAGCCAGTGTGTTCCTTGGAAGCAAAGATGGCTAAACTTCATCTTTCATACTTTGGATTTGTAGCTAGGTGAGACTATTCCTCAGATACAGATATCATGCTTGGAAAGGTGGAGTATAAGTGAAGGAGATGAAAACTTGCAACAAGATGAATTGACACATTGACCTCAGCAATGGGCTCTAGTGTGCCTGAGAGGATTAGAATGGCACAAGATAGGGCAGGGATCAGGTTGGCTGTTTATTGAATCACTGAGTTGTACTCAACTTGATGGCACCTAACGGAAAGAAAGGATACCTAATAAAACTTGAGTACAGAGCTGGTTCAAAGATTTGTTGTTTAGAAGGGAACTTGGTGACACTATGGGTAAAGGGAATTTGTTATTTTATACATAGCTTTGGTGACCTAATGGTAAAATGTTGCCAACTCAAAGGCCCATGGTCCATATGTTTACAAAACTACTTCTAATCTTGCTCCATTAACATCAATAAAATGTCAGTCTTCGCTGTGGAGTAGGAACAGATTCAGTTGACCCTCTGAAGGGTCTCTGAAGCAGTAAATCTCACAAGAGGAGATGGCCCATTTTTCCTTGAATGTGTCCCTGGTGGATTCAAACCATCAGAGAGGCATGGCACTTGAGTTAGCAATGCAGCTCCCTATGGAATATGACAATGGAGCCCCGTCATTAACATAGAGGTTAGGATTTTACAACACATAGATGGTGGTGGTGATGTTATGTGCCCTTGAGTCACTTTCATCATAGGTACAAGAACTTTGAACCCTGATCTATCTTAAGCCAGCTTCATTGTCTCTGATATACCTATCCCCCAGTACCCCAGGCACTGAGTCAATATTCATCCAGAGTCTTCCTCTCTCTTACTGTCCCTCCACCCTTCCAAACATAATGTCCCTCTCCAAGGACTGGTCCTTGCAACATGCCCAGAGCATGTCAGACGGAGCTTCAGAATCCTTGCCTCCAAGAAGCAGCCTGGTTTCACCCTCTCCAGGATGAACCTGTTTGTTCTCCTGGCAGTTCATGGTATAGTCAATACCCTTCTCCAGCACCACCACTCAAAGGCATTGATAATGATTCTATTTAGTTATTGTCCAGCTCTTTGATGCATAGCAAGTAACTGCAAAGACCATGGCCTGAATTTGGCACACCTTAGTCTTCAGACTGACATCATTGCTCTTCAGTACTCTGGAGTGATCCCTGACAGCAGACTTTCCCAATGCAACTAATCTTTTGATTTTCTGGCACTGGTACCAGGAGTGTTGATTGTGTAACTGAGCAAGCTGAAGCTGTTAACACTCTCAGTCTCTCTGTCATCTATCATGATGTTGCCAATTAGCCAAGTAATGAGAATCTTTGTTTTCTTGATGTTGAACTTCAATCCATATTGAAAGCTGCAGTTCTTGACCTTCTGTAGCAAATGCCTCAGTTCCTCCTCGGTTTCAGCAAGCTGGGTTGTGTCATCTGCATAAAGCAGGTTTTTAGGTGGTTATTTTATATTGAGGATTATAACTATGTTGACCATATTAAGAATAGACTTGAAAGTAGTGTGTTTGACACACAGTATCTAAATTTCTTCTTGCACATTTTGTTGTTGTATACTATCAAGTCATAACCAGCTCATAGCTGACTCCAGTGGGTTTTCCAAGGCAGAGAATGGCATGAGAGGAAACTGCCCATTTTTTTCTCTCTGAGCAGTTGATGGATCCAAACTGTGTTCCTTTGAGTTGGCAGCACCACTCCTTACCACAAATCCACCAGAAACTCCCTACTTACATATGAACAGATCTCTCACCACCCCTTCCCCAGTCATGGATCTATATAGCTGAACATTTTGGTAGGATGTCTATCTCTAGAAAATGGCTCTTGGGGTGGTTAAAGCTATTTTTAATAATTCCCTTCCTCTTGCCAATGATTGGGTATGTTGTTGTTAGGTGCTTTTGAGCTGACTGCAACTCATAGTGACCCCGTGAATAAGAAACCTGAAACTTGCCTTATCCGGCACCATCCTCTGATCATGATATCTGTCAAGCTCAAGCACAATTGTGTTAGTCATTATGTCAATCCATCTAACTGAAGGTCTTCCTCTATTTCACTACCCAGCATGGGTAGATAGAGAGTTGACAAAATGTTGGCTAATGAGATATGATGGGAAGTTTTCTTTACTGTAAAAAGAAGAAACAAAGATGAGGCAACTGCCTTCTCTTTCTCTTGATAATATGTTTGGATGTGGTGTCTGGCCATCTTGGGACCATAGAAGAAAGACTTGAAGGTCATGCCAGTCCACTAGGGCTTGCTTTTTGGACTATTACATAAAGAGACTGTCCAATAGGATCTTTAATACATTTTTATACATACAATGGTAATATATTTTTTTAAAATTTGTTCACACTCAAATTTTAACAGCAATGAAAATTTTCCTCCTTCACTTATGTCAATAAGAATTATAAAAATGAGCTTTTGCTAATAATAGCAGGCATTGGAGGACCCGTACATAATGATATCTAAGAAACAGATTTAACTTCCAAAATTTTATGTGAACTGTTATTACTATTCATGATGTATTTTCTACGCCATATAATTTATCAAAACATCCTTAATTATTTTTCTTATTTTCATTCTTTATTTTTAACTTCACTAATGTAGTAATTAGTAATGTTAAAAATAAAGAATGAAAAAAATATTACAATGAAATGTGTGAGGAGCTAGAGTCAGAAAATCAAAAGGGCCAAACTCGTTCAGCATTTCTTAAGCTCAAGGAACTGAGGAACAAATTCAAACCTAGAGTTGCTATAATCAAAGGTGATTTAGGCAGAATATTAAATGATCTAGGAAGTATTAAAAGAAGATGGATGGAATATACTGAGTCATTGTATTGAAAGGAATTGGCAGATACAGAAGAATTTGATGAAATAACATTTGAGCAAGAGCCTATGGTGATGAAGGAAGAAGTTCAAGCTGCTTTGAAGGAAATAGCAAAAAATAAGGCCCCAGGAATAGATGGAATACCAATTGAGATATTTCAGCTAATAGATGCTGCCCTGGATGTGCTCACCAAGTTGTGCCAAGAAATCTGGAGCACAACCACGTGGCCAATGAACTGACTGGAAGAGATCTGTATTTGTTCCCATTCCAAAGAAGGGTGACCCAACTGAGTGCGGAAACTACAGAACAATATCATTGATTTCACATGCAAGCAAGATTCTACTCAAGATTATCCAAAAACGGCTGGAACAGCACATCAGCAGAGAACTTCCAGAAGTCCAAGCTGGATTTAAAAGGGGTCGTGGTACTAGGGATATTGTAGCTGATGTTAGATGGATCTTATGTGAAAACAGAGAATACCAGAAGAATGTCTATTTGTGTTTTATTGATTATGCAAAGGCATTTGACTGTGTGGATCCTAACAAGCTGTGGTTGACTTTGAGAAGAATGGGAATTCCAGAACATTTAATCGTGCTAATGTGAAACCTATACTTGGACCAAGAGGCAGTCGTCAGAATGCAGGGTAACACTGCATAGTTCAAATTGGGAAGGACATACTCCAGGGATGTGTCCTGTCTCCATACCTTTTCAACCTGTGTGCAGAGGAGATTATCCGAGAGGCTGGGCTCTATGAGGAGAA